AGGAAAACTTCGGGCCTGTGTCTTATTCGACTCACGAGTTACGAAGCACCAAAGTCATCTAAAATATGGATTATCGTCCATACTGGATGAATCAAAAGAAAAAGTAAAAGTGCAATATATTCGAATTGAAAACCCATTGAACCACTTGCTCATGTCTAGGACTTTTCATAAAATATCCATAAAAAAACGAGGGTTCAATATTTTTCTAAATATTTTGTGTAAAAATTCATAAAATTGTCCTCTCTACAACATATTTTGAATTAACCAAAATCTGAGAACCTCGATTGAGCAGGTATGATTATGGCCTACATGGAATGGCTGATATGTTTACTTTCTTTCTTTCGTTTTGTGTAATGAACGAACGAGCATTTGGTCATTGTAGCTGCTCAGCGCATTATCCTCTTGTCAGTAGAGGAAATAAAAGATGGATCTCTTGATATCGAAAGTTCTACTATAACCTAGTGTAGATCAGTTTTAGCTCTACTAGAGTAAAGTAAAAGGAGAAATTATCTCTGTTCGGAAACACGCAGAACTTCTAACAAAAAGACGCAATAATTATCGTTTTGACTTTTACTACGCTTTCAAGTTCGTGCAGCAGCGCTACTGGTACGAGAAAACCTTTTTACATACTTGTATTTCAAGATGATCTCCTTATATCTTCGAAGTGATTGCAACTGTATAACAATTAATCTATAGCTGGATCAGAAAGTTATACGTCAGTTTATTTATACCGTAGATATCTTTTAGATACGCAAATTTTCAAGAACAAAGCCCGCTGTTCTTCGAATTTGATGCTACCATACTTCTGCAAGACATCGAAAATCGAGTTCTATTGTTTTTGTATCAAAATTTCAACACAACCTCGAATACTGCTTTCTGAAAACATATTTCTCTGTACTAAAAAACTCAACGTCAATAATTCCGCAGTATCAATACTACATTGCAAATGTCATAAAATTCTAATATCTCAATTTTGATACACAAAAGGTAGTCAACATTTTAAATTTAATAATTTCAGAACGAATGCATCATTCAGACCGAAATATGGTCGATCTCAGAACACCTTCATAATGATATAGTCGCAAGGGTATAGGCATTAGTATATAGTGCGTATGATATTGTTAATATAGTATAGGAATAGCTCAGGATGTTTGTAATAATTCCAGTGAATTTTAATCGATTACTATTTGATTTTTTTCTGTTGTTTTGCATGGAACCCATCCAAGAACAAATCTTTTCCAAAAACATTTGTTTATCTTTTGTTTTGTTTTCTTGAATTAGACATAAATAGATGTTTGTGTCCTCAAACGACTCATTATCCGTAGTTTTCAAATGTCTGTCAAAATGCAAAGCACAAAAATAAAAGAGAAAACATTTCAAATTTAGCATTTTTCATCATCTTATGTCACGCACAACCAGACTGTAGTGTAAACTCATCAACAAGTACTCTTACATTTCTTGGAACACACTATCGATTAAAACGGACACATACCACCCTCCAGTTCCATTTCACTTAACTTCTTCTTCTTGCTTTTTTTCTCTACTTTCCTCGTACACATTACCATTTATCAAGGAGAAAAACACTTGGGTTCGGTGATTTCTAACTGACTGCAGGGATTCTGCTTTTCTCCACTTCTCATCTTCAATGCTTATTATTATTCTTCTTCTTCATTTAACTACGTACTGCAACTATTCTATATTTCATTGGGTCCATGATCTATTGTCATCGTTCATATATTTCGATTTTCATTCTCAGGTAATATAATAAAAGATAATATCAAAAAAAGATTCACCTTTCGCCGACGATAGAGATACAGCTTGTGTATTATTTCTCTATCTTACTGCTGCTGTCGCATGTCGATCACAGATGAAATCGATTCGTGTTTCTTTCAAACCGAATCGAACCAAGACCAGTAAAACTCTCAAAACTTACTTTCAATTTGTAAAGATATCAGTTTTAAACTTACTCTACGATAGGAAACTTTTATTTATATCGACATTACAGATGAATCAAATCGTGGCGGATGTACCAGGAACGTCACCAGGAATAGAGGAATGTCTAAAGGATCCGGGTCTAGAGAGCAAAATCTCATCTGAAGTCATTTGAATGGATGAGAATGGATTAGATTAGGCTTGAATACCTAGAAATCCGTAAGGTCGATTGCATCTATTAATATCCATGTCATCTCTTTCTCTTACGACTGCGTCGCAACTGCGCTGCAGTACTCGAATCGTACGACCCAATGTACCTGATACAAACCAATCATAAGCGGTTTCGGCTCTTTTGTAGTTGATCATACTCTAGCACTAAGACTTAGCTACACGGCGACCGTGTAAAAGAAACCTTTCGTGATAGTATGGTTTATATTTCATCCTTCTATAGTCGACAAAGTAAAGTATGCCACCTCAGTTCAACTTATTGAAATGAAAACACTGCCTACGAAGGTTTCGGGCATTGTGAAATCGAATTCGAGGTCAAATTTTATTTTATTAATTTTTTATATTATCAATGATTTTTTTTAATTTTAATTTTTTTATATTAATTTTTTAATTTCATTTTTTAATTTTAGTTTTTTTTATTCTAGTATCTGTTTAGCTTTTATTGTAATTGTTTTATATTCATTTTCTTTTTTTCTTTTGTTTTTTTTTATTTTAATCTTTTTATCATTTTATCATTTTTTTATTATGAATTACTAATAATTCATAATAAAAATATTAAAATAAAAAATCTAACTTCAGATTCGGATTCCTAACCAATAACATTTTTTCGTGACTGCAATCGTACTGTGACCCATAGTTGTGAAAAACTGCGATCGCAGTTTGATGGTAGTCAAACACATGGGAAGTATGCTTATATAAACGTCTGAAATACTATAAAATCAAATTTTTTTTAATTTTCTGACAGACGTCCTTATTCTTCGTTTTCATTGTTGCTATTCGCTCAGTATTCTTCATTTTTCACAAGTTTTTTTTCTTAATTTAAAATTTTTATTATTATAAGTATTGAATTCGATGGCAAATGAAACTGTTATATATATATATATATGTCCATTATTTAATCCTGGCTGACAAGGTCTGTAATGGAGGGGGAGGGGGGAGCCGCGAAACTTGAAGTTAAAACTTGCACTCACTATTTTCTTCGAAAATATACGTGAGTTCCACAAAAAATACACGAAGAAAACTATAAGTTGATTGTTGAGAAAAAAATGTTATATCGAACACATTCCGAAGTGAATAATTTTCTTCGTACGGATTAGCTAACATCGTCACTATATATATTGCCATTATTCAAGAGCTCTGATTTTACTGTACGTAATCTCAGTAACGATAACTGTTTCAATTTCATGTTAATTGAATATAGCTGAAAACTTTATCGTTAAAATCAAGCAGATACTGCTGAGATATGCTTTATATCGACATTATTAATTTTTCGACTAATTGCTGAACAAAATAATAATGTTTATTAACCAATGCAACAATGACAAAAAACAACATTATAATATATTTTTTGGCAATCTAATTCTCGTCTACCTGTTTCCATTAATCGTTTTAAGTTTCTATCTTTCCGTGCCTTGGAGGATGCGGGTGTGAGTGTGGATCTTCTTTTCATCTACGCTCACATCCACACTTAGGATTTCACTATTGCTTTGGCAAATGAATTTAATATTATATGTTTAAATACATAGGTTGTTCATGCTTACGATTTTCATTTATTTGTTTACTCATTTTTTTATAGATATCAACAGGCATACTTTTTGTAAAGCTAATGAGATGAGATCTGATAGCTTGTTTAGTGTCACAGAAGGAATGACTTAGGAAATTAAAGTTGAAATTTTACAAGGTCATGAGGAACTGTCTCCCGCATAAGTCCCCATTTCCAATCGGGTTGATGACAATTTCTAGAACTTCCTGAGCTCATCTCAACACCTGAACACGCTCTATCTCATACACTGTCTTGGAGGCATTAGACCGATTTCCGCTAAAGAAGTACTTTAAGCTGCTATTTCATAAATTTTAACTTGTGTCTTAATTTATTTCTGGACATTTAAAAATTCAACAGTGAACGCGCCTCAATTAACTATATATATCTACATAACCATGATAGGCAGAAGTTCCAAGTGCGTCTATAATTTGAATATTTCAGTACCATTTTAATATTGTAAATCTACAGAGTTCAACTATTTTTGCAAAGCTGATCAATATTCGCCGAAAATGTTATTTTAAAGATTTATAAATTCAAGTCTTGGTCGGTATCATATTTTCAATACTCTTCACTTTATTTACTGTTTTCTTGCATATTTATGTAGAAAAAAGTACAATAGATAAGGCAAGGGATTGAGAGATAATCAATATGTGTTTTTTTATATGTCCTGAATAGATGAACATATAATAATTGAAATTCGATGAATTTTGAAAGGATAGTGGAACTCCTTACGCTCACAACATCAAAGGTATTGCAATATTCAAAGTATACTTAGACCCATAGTTTGGACTTCTATTTATGGTGATAGTGTAAACTTGTACAGCCAATTAAGGCACATCCACTGTTTAAGTTGTGAATGCTGACAACAAAATTAACACAAAAATTTAAATTTTCGAAAACAAGCTCATAATAATTGTTCTTTAATCCAGATCACTATGATTCTTCGAACAGAGTTCGTAGATAAATAAAAGCAATCCATGCCAATCTGATCAATTGTACGAGCTCTGTGTACTCGTAAAAAATGCTTGAAGATGGAGGCTCTTTTCTATGGATTTTGACTTGCTAGCTCAAAATTTATAGAATCTTTTTAGAATAAGAAACAAGTATCAGAATTAATCCAATTTTCGCATAACCACAGGGTGACTTGTGATAACTGTGAATATATACGAATGCTTGAAAATATTTCAGAATAGATGCGAATTATTCGGAATGAATAGGGACGGGGCAAATGTGTAACAAGGTTTTTCTCCCTTAGGTAAAATTTCTTACCAGTTATTTTTCAAAGATGAGTAGTATACTACTTACAGAGAATCATTTCGGTCAGCTTTACAGCATTGATTTGGCAATCTTGACGAAGTTTCTCCACTTCTTCTTTTAACCGTTTAATGTCTTCTTGTAATTGATGCCAAAACTGTTGAAATTCCTCTTTTAACTGTTTAATTTCTTCGTTTAACTGTTTATTTTCTTGTTTTAACCGTTTAATTTCTTCTTGTAATTGATGCCGAAACTGTTGAAGTTCCTCTTTTAACTGTTTATTTTCTTCTTTTAACTGTTTAATTTCTTCTTGTGATTGATGCCGAAACTGTCGAAATTGTTCTTTGAGACATATCATATCTGTATGACTTTGAGTTGCATCATGTCGCTTGTACACAATTTTGCAATCTTCACAGGTAAATTCAATCAATTCACACTGAGATTTATGTTTCTCGATTTCCTTTTTAGCAAATGATGAATTACAGCCAGGACACCGTTGGGGCTGGTAATCACATTCTCTCTCATGCTTTTCGACTGCTTCATAGGGTATAATCTAGAGCAAAACATCGATGAAACAGTTTTGGTAGAAGAACAACTAACCTCACGGCAGCCATTTGATTCATAGATGCAGACAATCTGTAACCTGGATAATTGTCTAACAATGAATGGAGGGCATGCTCTTTCGATGAATGGTTCACATCCATTTGGGCATTGATTTCTACCTTCATGAAGCCATTTTTTAATGCACGTCGAACAAAACGGAGTTTCGCATTTCTGGCAAGCGACTGGTTTCCATAGGATATTATGACATATCGAAGAGCAGAGTAGATCTTCCAAAATGGCTCCTGGTTGATCTCGAACTCGATCTGATGCAAGTCCAACTTCGTTAGTGGACATCATGTAATAGAATAGTATAGTAGTTCTAGAACGGCATACAGACTCTTGGATTAGTTTTCGATAAAAAAAATGTACAATAATTGTTGGTAATGATGAGATTACTATGGAAAGTAACATATCTTATAGACCTTTCTTCATATTTTATGAAAGAGACTAGTCAGTTAGATGTTAACAAGGGAAGTGTTCATTTGTTCGTACTTTTATTTCGACATTGGAAAAGATCAGAACAGCAATATTATATTTAAGATAACTATGATTTGAGTCATCTCCTGGGTGTCGGTGCGGGTGTGGATGTATTCAGCTTTATCCACACCCCATACCCACCCACACCCTCTGGTAAGAAGAACATGAAGCATCGTGACTGTCCTGCATGTGCGTGGCATATTTTGTCACATGGCTATGTCACATATTGTTCGATAATTTGTTCATCAGTCAACTTTTCATAATAGTGTCCCTCAATTGTGCACTTTCGCTTTCTTAAGAGTCACAGCTTTATTGCCTAGTTATAGAAATCATAAAAAAGGTCTCAAAATCCAGGTAGGTGATTCTACTGTCCGGATCGGTGAATTTCCGATGGAATTCCACAGAAAAACAGTTTGCGGGTCATAAAATGGTAAGAATGTGAAAACAACAATCCTATAGTCGTAAACGGTTGCCGCCTTTACCCGAATTCACTCAGCTCTGACCGGAACTGAATAAATCCAATCAATTACATAGGCAAGTCAAAAAGTTCTCGGACTTCGCTATATTTATTCAGGGAAACAACATTCCATCCATCTCTCTACACCATATATTCGAGGTAGTTGTTGTGATATTCCATGTGAAGTTTCATCTCTTTAGCTCACTCTTAAGATACCTTTTCGAAGTAAACAATAGGTATTGAATTGACCTCCTTGGTTATTGGTGAAATTTTACTAGTTTTTTAGCTCTCAAAAATTTGAAGAAGCTCCTAAGTGGTGAACAGATTTTATGTGATACCATCAGTGGCTATCAGAGTCAGATCTGCCATCGCAATATGGGATAAAAATAATTATCAAAACTTAAGTCAACGAGAGAAACTAGTCCTTCAAGCGACATTTATTGCTAACGATATCAGTAACAGTAATATATGTCAACGTTTGTATGACATTCCGGCCACTATCT